TGTACTCGTATTCTGTACTGTAGTGTACTGTACTGTATTGTACTGTTAATGAATTGTACTGTTACTGTATTGTAATGTATTGTACTCGTACTGTATTGTACTGTTATTGTACTGTATTGTACTGTACTGTGCTGTTTTGATGTACTGTATTGTACTGTATTGAATGTTCTGTATTATACTGTATTGTATGTACTGTATTGTACTTGTACTGATTGTACTGTATTGTACTGCTACTGTACTGTATTGTACTGTACTGTATTGTACTGTACTGTATTGTTACTGTACTTATTGTACTGTACTGTATTGTACTGTTTTGGTACTGTACTGTATTGTACTGTACGTACTGTATTGTACTGTTACTGTATTGTACTGTTTGTACTGTACTGTACTGTTTTGTACTGTATTGTACTTGTTACTGTATTGTACTGTACTGTATTGTACTGTACTGTATAGTTATGTACTGTATTGTACTGTACTGTATTGTACTGTACTGTTATTGTAATGTATGGTACTGTATTGTACTGTACTGTATTGTTACTGTACGGTATTGTACTGTACTGTATTGTACTGTACTGTATTTTACTGTACTGTATTGTACTGTATTGTACTGTACTGTATTTGTACTGTACTGTATTGTACCTGTAACTGTATTGTACTGTACTGTTGTGTACTGATACTGTATTGGACTGTACTGTACTGTATTGTACTGTACTGTATTGTTACTGTACTGTACTGTATTGTTTCTGTACTGTATTGTACTGTACTGTTACTGTTACTGTATTGTACTGTACTGTTATTGTACTGTACTGTTACTGTATTGTACAGTAATGTACTGTATGTATTATACTGTACTGTATTGTACTGTATTGTACTGTACTGTATTTTTTTTTTTTTTTTTTTTTTTTATTTGCAAATATTAACAAAAATCTACCGATCTTAATTGGACTGTACTGTATTGTACTGTAACTGTATTGTTACTGTACTGTATTGTACTGTACTGTATTGTTACTGTACTGTATTGTTACTGTATTGTACTGTATTGTACTGTACTGTATTGTACTGTACTGTATTGTACTGTACTGTATTGTACTGTATTTTACTGTTCTGTACTGTACTGTATTTGTTATGTATTGTACTGTACTGTAATGTATTGTATTGTACTGTTTTGTACTGTATTGTACTGTACTGATATTGTACTGTACTGTTTTGTATGTACTGTACTGTATTGTACTGTACTGTATTGTACTGATACTGTACGGTATTGTATTGTACTGTTCTGTATCTGTACTGTATTGTACTGTACTGTATTGTACTGTACTGTTACTGGACTGTATTGTACTGTATCTGTATTGTAATTGTATTGTACTGTTTTTGTACTGTATGTATTGTACTGTACTTCACTGTACTGTATTGTACTTTATTGTACTGTATTGTACTTTATTGTACTGTATTGTACTGTACTGTACTGTACAGTGAAGTACAGCTACAGTTCAGTGAAGTACTGTACAGCTGAAGTGCAGTACAATACCAATACAGGACCAATTTAGTACATAATACAGTACAGATACAGTACAATACAGTACAGTACAGTGAGTTACAGTACAATCAGTACGTGTTGTACTGTTTCTGTATTACTGTACTGTACTGTATTTGTTACTAAGAGAGTGGTGAAGCAATGTAAAAAGAGAGCAATGAGGAGTGGGTGATATTTTCACAAATTTGTTGATAACATAAGAAAAGTTGTGGGTTGAGTTTAACAAGTTAAGGAAGCTAGAGAACTAATGGATTTGTCAGTTTTAATAATAGGATGAGGAGGTATTAAATGGAATTTAGAAGGTATTGGGAAGATGGAGGGAATATTTTGAGGAATTGTTAAATGATGATGAAGATAAGGGAAGCTGTGATTTCGTGTATTGGCAAGGAGGAATACATCTTAGTAGGAGTTGAGGAAGAGCCAGTTTGGTGAGTAGGGGGTAGTTCGTGAGGCAGTAGGTTAAAATGAAAGTGGGTAAGGGCAGCCGGGGATTGATGGGATAAAGATAGAAGAATGTTTAAAGCAGGTGGGGATATAGTTTTGTAGGGGTTGGTGCTATTATTTTAATAAATGTATGGAAAGAGTGGTAAGGTACTAGGAGATTGGCAGAGAGCTTGCAAAGTTCCTTTGTTATAAAGCAAAGGGGACAAAAAGAGAGTGCAAAAATTATTAGGGGGATTAGTCTGTTGAGTATACCTGGTAAAGTGTATGGTAGAGTTATTATTGAGAATTAAGAGTATGACGGAGAATAGGATAGCTGATGAAACAAGGATGCATTTAGGAAGGTAGGGGGTGTGTGGACCAGGTGTTTCACAGGAAAACAATAGTGAAACAGTATTTCGATCAAGGCTAAGAGGTTTTTGTGGCATTTTATGCGATTTGGGAAAACATGCGAATGACAGGGTGGATAGGGGGGCAGTGTGGTAGAGATGTTGCAGGTATATGGATAGTCGGTAGGTTACTTGAAAGCTGTGATAGAGTTTTTTTCCGAGGATAGTGACGGCTACAGGTTACAGTATGTAGCGAAGAGGGAGATTATTTCCCAGTAAAAGTTGGCCTTGGACAAGGATGTGTGATGTCACCGTGGTTCGTTTTAATATTTTTATAGATGGGCTGTAAGAGAAGTAAATGCGGCAGGGTTCTGGCAAGAGGCGTGGTAGTTAAAAGAGAATGAATCACACATAAAGTGGGGAGTTGTCACAGTTGCATCTTTGTGATGACCACTGGGTGATTCTGAAGAGATGTTGCAGAGGTTGGTGGATATGATATGGTGGTAGGGTATGTAATAAGAAGAAAATTAAAAGTGAATACAAGGAAAGATGTAGAGGATAACAAACAGATTAGGGTGATGAAAAATTGGATATTAGGTTTGGAGGGGAGAGAGTCTGGAGGAGGTGAAATTTTTTTTTTATATATCCCATCCCAAACTCCTCCACTGCCTTCTGCAGTTTCTCGTTTAAATTTTCCTGAGGCTCTTTCATTAGAAAACAGTAACATGACACCTTCCATTTTATATCAGAATCATTTTATTTTAAACCAGAATCATTGATTTAAACCAGAATCATTAGGTTTTAATCCAGAATCATTATCTTTTAATCCAGAATCATTATCTTTTAAACCACAATTTATCTTTGAAACTAGAATTATTATCTTTTAAATCAGGAACTCTCTTAGGTAATAGCATTGACTTCTTTTACAACCACATCATTTTTTTTAGCTTGGGATTCCTTTGGGTCACTTTGCAGGATGGGGTGACTCAAAGAAAATACCTTCACCATCCATCATTCTATTGGTCTTTCCAGAATTGTGCTGACATCACAGTTTATATTACCCTCCAATTACCCTATCAGTAAAGACATTAAATAACCACATTAACACTATAACAAGGGTCTAGTAACCCCCATCTCCTGTATAAATTACTACAAGTGCTTCTTGACTTACGATGGGGTTATATTCCAACAAACTCATCGTAAGTCAAAAATATCATAAGATGAATATGAATATGACATGGTAAATATATTAGTAAATCAATAACGGCTATCACTGAATAAGTTAATGAACAAATAATTCCTGTAATTACCAGTACAGCCTCTCCTCACTTAACGATAGAGTTGTGTTCCTAAGACCACGTCGTTAAACGAATTCTTCGCTAAGTGAGGAGCATACTATAATGGTAGTGAGTTTGTGTTAACCATCTTTGATATTGTTTTAACGTCACCTTTGTACCATTTATAACATTTCTGGTATATTTTTTAAAAGTTTACACATAGTGTACTGTATATTGAAATAACAGAATAGAGGAAATTTGCTCTAATATACATTATTTAGGTATGAATACTGGCCAGAGAGTCCGTCATAAGTCTGAGACATTGGTAAATGAGTACGTTGCTAAGTGAGGAGAGGCTGTATTGAAAAGTAAATAAATGAATATAGGTTTTGGACTTGGTGTCTTCATTCTGAGTAATTATGTTAAGTTTCATCTCCAAAGTAATTGCTTTTGCACCATTGTAAAGTTAAAATATTGTAAGTCGAACCATTGTAAGTCAAGGAGCACCTGTACGTGTAAAACAAAAAACTTTCATTTTTCTTTTTAGGTCACCCTGCCTTGATGGGAGGCAGCTTATTTGTTAAAAAAAAAAAATAAATCATTAACATCACTAAGGCTCACTTTTACTGTAAAATTTTTTCCTACATACCAGCTTATGACTCGTATGAGTTTAGTGCTTGCTTTTAAATTTAATAATTATCTCCTACATTCCCTGCCAACTCTCACTTGCTCCAGGATGGACCAAAACATTGTCTGAGGATTTATTCTCAGACAATGGTGATTGTGAATCAGTTTTTATTTATCATTTTGTGTCTCTTCTAGAATGATACATGATCAGCGGCAGATCTACTGTGAAATTAATGAAGCTTAAGCTTCAGGAACGATTTTAGTCCACATTACTTAAAAATTTTGGGTCTGCTGTATGAAAAGGGGTTGCAAAGGGGCCTCCATAACACTTGAAACTTCAGAGGCCCCAAAATTGTAGGTCCATGACTGTAAAAGACGCTGGTCAAGGTCTCTTGTTTGAAAGAAATGGAGCTACCCTTCCATTCTTTGGATCATGTCTCATTGCTTCCAATTCCCCATATGTTCTTCCATAAATGTAATAATGATAATTATCTCTGAATTAGGGATGTTATTTAACTGCTGTCTTGCCAGAAGTGTGCTGAGTGATTCAAAGTGATTGAAGTTTATTTCCACATGATCCATTGTATATACAGGAATGGGTGACATTTGAATGCATGCAGGAAGCCCATGGTTATGCAGAGCATTTTGGGCAATTTTAAGCCTAACTTAAATGTCATCATAAGCTTCTCTCTCTCCCATGTGCGTGTTATTTGTGTATTATTCCGGTCATGGTTTTGATCCTCTTTTTCTAATTTGTAATGCTGAAATTCACACACACAAATTTGTCACCAGGTCGACGGCAATGTCTGGGCGAGTCTTTGGCCAGGATGGAGCTGTTTATCTTCTCAGCAGCATTGCTCCAGAACTTCACCTTCTCTCCAGCACCCTCAAAAGAGATTGACCTGTCTCCTGAAACTGTTCCATTCGCACAGTTTTCAAAACTTCAAGATATTGTCATTACTATCAGGAAGTAGTGGTGTACTAAAGTTAGTTTGATATCTTTGCTATATATCCTGTTGATGGTAATCATATTTTAATTTTAACCCTTTGAGGGTTTTGGTCGTACTAGTATGTCTTACGCGTAGGGGTTTTTTTGACGTACTAGTACGCATAAATTCTAGCGGCCTCAAATCTAGTGGGAGAAAGCTGGTAGGCCTTCATATGAAAGAATGGGTCTATGTGGTCAGTGTGCACAGTCTAAAAAAAATCCTGCAGCACACAGTGCATAATGAGAAAAAAAAAAACTTTGACCATTTTTTTGGAATAAATCAGCGACTTTGCAGTGTATTTTCGTATGGTATTTATTGTTGTATTCTAGTTTTCTTGGTCTCATTTTATAGAATGGAAGACATATTACAGAAATTGAGATGATTTTGACTGGTTTTACAATGAAAGGTGCCTTGAAATTGAGCTCAAAGTAGCAGAAATGTTCGATTTTTACCAAACTTCAAAAGTAAACAAATCGTGCCAAGCGTGCAATACACGTCAACTGGTGAGTCTAATATTCTTTCACAAGTGCACCAATAATATTTATACCATTTTTTACACTAATGCAGTAGTCTGCATAACAGTAAATTTTGTATTTTTTTGTATGAATAAAAAATCAAAATAGAAAGCAATAATAATATAAGAGGGGCCTAGAGATGTGACTAATGAACAGAGGATATGTTATTTTAGTGCCAAGAATATCTACCTTGTTTATTCTGGACCCTATTTTGAAATTGGCATCTTTTTTAGTTTGCGTGAAATTGGCCAAATTGCCAATTTCTGACCACAATATTGGGTAGTCCAAATTGGTAAATGGAGGTTTCTTGTAACTCAGCAGATAGAATAAAATGGAGTTCTAAAGAAATCGCTGTGAGTTTGGTCAACTGGAACAAACGGAATTGGCTGAAAATAGGGCTCAAAGTCGGCGAAATCGCCGATACGCATATGTCGCCAAGACCGCTAACTTCGCGGGAGCGTAATTCCATGAGTTTTCGACCAAATCTCAAACTATTGGTGTCATTACCATCGGGAAAAGATTCTCTATCATTTCATTAGAAAAAATATTTTTTTTTTTCAAAAATTTAGTGACATAGAATGACAGTTTCAGAAAGGAGCCTGAAACAGTCAAAGGGTTAAATGGAAATAAGTCACTAACTTTTTTGGGTTATCCTGGGTAATCTACATATATGCTGCTATGTATGATAATTTATGTAACTGTATTTGTGTGTACCTGTTGCTGAATAAACTTACGTTCTATCAACAATGGCTTCTTTCGGTCCTTCATGGCATAACACTTTCTCCTTAAATTAACCTAATACTACACGTGTCTTTCTTCAAGAGGACCTGATATTAGGATATTAGGATTAGTTTGACTGAAATGTATTTGCATACTAGTGGTTTTCTTTTGTGCCTGACAGTGTTTCATTACAAATACATGTATGTTTTTGTACAGCATTAAAAATTAAAAATGAATTTTAAGTAAGTGCTAAGCAATATTTACATGGCACCAACTTCATTCAGTCAGCCAAGTCAGTTAGTCAGTCAAGAGAGTCAGTTGGTCAAGACAGTCAATTCAGGTCAGGCTGTGGAACACTGTGGGCTTCCCACTGATATGATATGTGCCTTCAGCACAATACTACTGTATCCTATACTATGTTAAATTTAAAGGTAGTAGGTTGGTAGACAACAACCACCCAGGGAGGTACTACCGTCCTGCCAAGTGAGTGTAAAACGAAAGCCTGTAATTGTTTTACATGATGATAGGATTGTTGGTGTCCTTTTTTCTGTCCTATGAACATGCAAGATTTCAGGTACATCTTGCTACTTCTACTTACACTTAGGTCACACTACACATACATGTACAAGCATATATATACACACCCCTCTGGGTTTTCTTCTATTTTCTTTCTAGTTCTTATTCTTGTTTATTTCCTCTTATCTCCATTGGGAAGTGGAACAGAATTCTTCCTCTGTAAGCCATGCGTGTTGTAAGTGGCAATTAAAATGCCAGGAGCAAGGGGCTAGTAACCCCTTCTCCTGTATATATTACTAAATGTAAAAGGAGAAACTTTTGTTTTTCCTTTTGGGCCACCCTGCCTCAGTGGGATACGGCCGGTGTGTTGAAAGAAAGATATATACATACACACGTCAAGGGTTTTTCTTCTGTTTCTTAATAGCTCTTGTTCCTGTCTTTTTTTTTTCTCTCTCTCTATTGTCCATGGGGAAGCAGAAAAGAATCTTTCCTCCGTAAACCACATGTGTCGTATGAGGCAACTAAAATGCCGGGAGCAATGGGCTAGTAACCCCTTCTCCTGTACACATTTACTAAAAATCAGAAGAAGAAAAACTTTATAAAACTGAGATGTTTGAATGTGCATGGATGTAATGCAGATGATAAGAAAGATATAATTGCTGATGTTATGAATGAAAAGAAGTTGGATGTCCTGGCCCTAAGCGAAACAAAGCTGAAGGGAGTAGGTGAGTTTCAGTGGGAGAAATAATTGGGATTAAGTCAGGAGTAGCTGAGAGAGTTAGAGCTAAGGAAGTGGTAACAATAATGTTGAAGGACCAGTTATGGAAGGAGAAGAGGGAATATAAATGTATAAATTCAAGGATTATATGGATTAAAATAAGGGTCGGATGTGAAAAATGGGTCATAATAAGCGTTTATGCACCTGGAGAAGAGAGGAGTGTAGAGGAGAGAGAGAGATTTTGGGAGATGTTAAGCAAATGTATAGGAACCTTTGAACCATGTGTGAGAGTGTGTGCTAGGTGTGGTAGTTTAGTTTGGGGTGCCAGGTGTAAATGATAATGGGAGTCCATTGATTGAACTTTGTATAGAAAAAGGTTTAGTTATAAGTAATACGTATTTTAAGAAAAAGGGGATAAATAAGTATACAAGATATGATGTAGGGCGTAATGACAGTAGTTTGTTGGACTATGTATTGGTAGATAAAAGACTGTTGAATAGACTTCAGGATGTACATGTTTATATAGGGGCCACAGATATATCAGATCACTTTCTAGTTGTAGCTACAGTGAGAGTAAAAGGTAGATGGGATACAAGGAAAATAGAAGCAGCAAGTAAGAGAGAGGTGAAGGTTTATAAACTAAAAGAGGAGGCAGTTAGGGTAAGATATAAACAACTTTTGGAGGATAGATGGGCTAGTGAGAGAATAGGCAAGGGGGTGGAAGATGTATGGGGTAGGTTAAGTGTTCAGCAGAAGTTTGTGGTTACAGGAAAGTGGGTGCGGGAGAGAAGAGGAACGATTGGTGGAATGATGATGTACAGAGAGTAGTAAGGGAGAAAAAGTTAGCATATGAGAGGTTTTTAACAAAGCAGAAGTGATAGAAGGAGGGAAGAGTATATAGAGAGAAAAAGAGAGGTTAAGAGAGTGGTGAAGCAATGTAAAAAGAGAGCAAATGAGAGAGTGGGTGAGATGTTATCAACAAATTTTGTTGAAAATAAGAAAAAGTTTTGGAGTGAGATTAATAAGTTGAGGAAGCCTAGGAACAAATGGATCTGACAGTTAAAAATAGGAGAGGAGAGTTATTAAATGAAGAGTTAGAAGTATCGGGAAGATGGAGGGAATATTTTGAGGAACTGTTAAATGTTGATGTAGATGGGGAAGCTGTGATTTCGTGTATAGGGCAAGGAGGGAATAACATCTTGTAGGAGTGAGAAGAGCCAGTTGTGAGTGTGGGGGAAGTTCGTGAGGCAGTGGGTAGAATGAAAGGGGAAGGCAGCTGGGATTGATGGGATAAAGACAGAAATGTTAAAAGCAGGAGGGGGTATAGTTCTGGAGTGGTTGGTGCTATTATTTAATAAATGTATGGAAGAGGGTAAGGTACCTAGGGATTGGCAGAGAGCATGCATAGTTCCTTCGTATAAAGGCAAAGGGGATAAAAGAGAATGCAAAAATTACAGGGGAATAAGTTTGTTGAGTATACCTGGTAAAGTGTATGGTAGAGTTATTATTGAAATAATTAAGAGTAAGACAGAGAATAGGATAGCAGATGAACAAGGAGGCTTTAGGAAAGGTAGGGGGTGTGTAGACCAAGTGTTTACAGTGAAACATATAGATGAACAGTATTTAGATAAGGGTAAAGAGGTTTTTGTAGCATTTATGGATTTAGAAAAGGTATATGACAGGGTATATGACTTACAGCAGGTGTGCATGAGCGTGTTCGATAGGAGTGAATGGAGACGAATGGTATTTGGGACCTGACGATCTGTTGGAGTGTGAGCAGGGTAATATTTAGTGAAGGGATTCAGGGAAACCAGTTATTTTTATATAGCCGGACTTGAGTCCTGGAAATGGGAAGTACAATGCATGCACTCTAAAGGAGGGGTTTCGGGATATTAGCAGTTTGCAGGGATATGTTGTGTATCTTTATACGTATATGTTTCTAAACTGTTGTGTTCTGAGCACCTCTGCAAAAACAGTGATTATGTGTGAGTGAGGTGAAAGTGTTGAATGATGATGAAAGTATTTTCTTTTTGGGGATTTTCTTTCTTTTTGGGTCACCCTGCCTTGGTGGGAGACAGCCGACTTGTTGAAAAAAAAAAAATATGACAGGGTGGATAGGGGAGCAATGTGGCAGATGTTGCAGGTGTATGGTATAGGAGGTAGTCTTACTGAAAGCAGTGAAGAGCTTTTACGAGGATAGTGAGGCTCACGTTAGGGTATGTAGGAGAGAGGGAGATTATTTCCCAGTAAAAGTAGGCCTTAGACAAGGATGTATGATGTCACTGTGGTTGTTCAATATATTTGTAGATGGGGCTGTAAGAGAAGTGAATGCTAGGGTTTTGGCAAGAGGCGTGGAGTTAAAAGATAAAGAATCAAATACAAAGTGGGAGTTGTCACAATTGCTCTTTGCTGATGACACAGTGCTTTTGGGAGATTCTGAAGAGAAGTTGCAGAGGTTGGTGGATAAATTTGGTAGGGTATGTAAAAGAAGAAAATTAAAAGTGAATATAGGAAAGAGTAAGGTTATGAGGATAACAAAAAGATTAGGTGACGAAAGACTGGATATCAGATTGGAGGGAGAGAGTATGGAGGAGGTGAATGTATTCAGATATTTAGGAGTGGACATGTCAGCAGATGGGTCTACGAAGGATGAGGTAAATCATAACAGAATTGATGAGGGGAAAAGGGCGAGTGGTGCACTTAGGAGTCTGTGGAGACAAAAAACGTTGTCCATGGAAACAAAAAGGGGAATGTATGAGAGTACGTTTTTACCAACACTCCTGTATGGGTGTGAAGCATGGGTGGTGAATGTTGCAACGAGGAGAAGGCTAGAGGCAGTGGAGATGTAATGTCTGAGGGCAATGTGTGGTGTGAATATAATGCAGAGAATTTGTAGTTCGGAAATTAGGAGAAGGTGTGGGAGTACCAAAACTATTATCCAGAGGGGTGAGGAGAGGATGTTGAGGTGGTTCAGACATGTAGAGAGAATGGAACAAAACAGAACGACTTCGAGAGTGTATAAATCTGTAGTGGAGGGAAGGCGGGGTAGGGGTTGGCCTAGGAAGGGTTGGAGGGAGGGGTTAAAGGAGGTTTTGTGTGCGAGGGGTTTGGACTTCCAGCACGCATGCACGAGCGTATTTGATAGGAGTGAATGGAGACAAATGGTTTTTAATACTTGATGTGCTGTTGGAGTGTGAGCAAAGTAACATTTATGAAGGGATTCAGAGAAACCAGCAGGCCGGAAAAGAGTCCTGGAGATGGGAAGTACAGTGTCTACAGTCTGAAGGAGGAGGGGTGTTAATGTTGCAGTTTTGTAACTGTAGTGTAAAGCACCCCTCTGGCA